TCTTCGTTTTATGTTTCAGGCATGCGTCACACAAAAGCTCTGTTCTTTCTATACATGCTGATTGTTGTTTGTATGAATTGTGTCTGGGGATCTTCCGATATCAGCATTCTCCCGTCAAATGTTGATAGTGGAAATGAAGGAGGCGTCAGACCTCTTCCCGCTTGTCAGACTATTTACAGTCAACTGATATATCCTCGTGTGGTGAGGAACATTAGTGTGATTGAGCTATTTCCGTTACGTGTTCGTATTGAAGTGGAAATGAAAACATCCGAGTCGGGGACTTTCACGGTCGACGGGCTCGTATGTCAACGAGGTTTCACTGCGCGTACTGCCGATGCTGTTTGTCGATCCCTGCGTAAAAAGCAGGTATCGTTCGAGACAAAAATTGACTGGAAAGAAACTCCAACGACTGGTTGCCATTTCCAATGGGCTGGAGATACAACATCAGTACCATGTAAATTTCTATTGGACACTTTGGTTTGTCCTGCTGGAGCCAGCGATTTGAATAGTTGCACTTATTTGCCTCTCTACAGCAGCCAATACTGTACACAGACTATGCATGTTGGAGTTGTATGCACATAATTTGTTTTCTGCTCTACTGAATAAATACAGAAGAATAGAACATCTGTTTACTTAAGTGGTAATGAACGGTAATTCATGGGAGATTCTCGTTTATTCTCTGGTTCGTTGAGTACAAAACATTTTATTTGATAATAAAACATTATCAATGACTTTGTCTGAAGCATTTGATAAAATATTAAATATAAGTTCATATGATTTAACAGTAATTCTATGTTTAGTTATTTATGTACAAAATGGTCATAAATTATCAAATCAATACTAATTGAACTATTAAACTAATTGAAAGTTTCGATTTGAAACATTCGAAAATCAAGTAATACAAAATAGAAATAATGATAAAAAATAAAAATGGTAAGGATAGACGTTTAAATATAATTGAAACATTCCCATATTCTATACAAAATACCAATNATACAAAATACCAATTGATGGTAAATTACCAATTGATGGCAAGAAAAAACGTTTTTTGAAAAATACGTTGAGCTACATTTCATCCGATGTAGGTATTGATTGTAGGGGTGGCACATTTTCTTTACTGATGCGTTACTTTACTGAGTAAAGCAACGCTTTCAAATATCACCGTATGAGTGACGAACAACCGAAAATGTATTGTTTTATCACCTTCCGGACACAATGCGACTAAAGCGTTACTATATTATGCGTTACTAGTAACGAGTAACGTATGCGTTATTGCGTTACTGGTAATGAGTAACGCACGCGTTATTGCGTTACTGGTAACGAGTAACGCATGCGTTATTGCGTTACTGCGTTACTAGAAAAGTAACGCAAAAAAGCGTTAAAGTAACGCAAGTAACGCTGCGTTACTCGTTACAAAAGCTATGAAAAATAAACGCAT